CTGAATTTCCATTCATTTTCCAACATTAAATTCATTACGATAAGAATTTGTATGTCTAAATCAAGGCTGACTCTGAGAATTTTGAAGTCCTAGACAGTTTATTATTATGAGGTTCTTAGATAATTCTTTTTCAAGCTTAGCAATGCTTAAATATTTAAATAAATAACATATTTATAATTAATTAATTTCTTCACTTTTAGTTGATGAAAAAAAAATAACATAAAATCACACACATAAAAAAAGAATAATCACTTTTAAGAAAAATGAAAATTCCAAAAAGTGCACCAAATAAGTGGGGCTGAGTTTTTTGTAACAACAAAGTTTATTTACAGAAAAGTTTTACACACTCACATGGGTGGGTCTCATGCGAGATCCATGGTAATAAAAAATTGTCAAAAAATTCCAGCTACCCCCACCGTACCCACATCATTATCCTTTTTGTTTTTCGCCATCTAAAATATCGAGGCCATAGGACTTTACCTAGTAAGCCTGCCCAGGCCAAAATAAAAAAAAATCTCGATTTAAAATTTTTATATATCTTCACGAAATTTTATTTTGGTTAAAAGTGCAAGAAAATATTGCATTTAATGCATGTGTAGTGACATAGATTATGCCCTTATTTGGCTCCATTAAAATTTTTAAAATTTTTTTCTTTCTTAATTTAATCCATACATTCTCCAAATAAAATAATATTACACACAAATTTAAAAAATTTCATTATTTTTCAACTAACACATTCTCCCACCAATCGTTATTCCAAAATTTATTAATTTTCCAAAATGGGAGTCAAACAATGACTATATTAACACTACAATTTATAATAGTTGTGAACATATTTAGAGTCCATTTGATATGATTTTTATTTTGACTTTTGCTTCCTGTAGAAAAGTTTTTTGGGAAGCTATCTTAATTTTTGTTTGAAAATTGGTTTTTAAAAACACTCTATTCTAAAAGTGTTTTAAGAAAAAGTCACATTGGACAAACTTTTTTTAAAAAAAATTCTAACTGGTAGAAACACTTTCATAAAATTAGTCACACGTGTCCAAAAGTTGTTTTTGGATCTCAAAAACTCTTTCTGATTTTTCGAAAGTCATGCCAACGGGTCACTAATAAGTCTTAAAAGATATATAAAAAAAGTGACTAAAAGTTTTCGATCTTATAAAATATGTGAATAAAAACAAAGTTTGATTAACTTAAAAGCAATTGCAAACTTTTCCAAACATGCACTTAGTATCCTAAGAGAAAACCTGTTAAACACGGATTTTAGTTGGTCTTGTCGTGTACGTATAAAGTTAAAAGATGAAAAAACAATTCTTACGAGTCAAATTTAAATTTGTTAAGATTGTAATGTTTAACTTCACATCACTCGTCGTGACCCTTCAAGATGATGTGAAAGCGAGGCTATCGTCAAAAATTAAGCACTTGGAATAAGACCTTTGGATGATGC